TTTTAGAGGGGTTGCTATGATCATTGTAAGAAGACTAGATGGGGTGCAGAGAATAGAAAAAAAACAGAAGGTTGGATGCAGGCACAAGACAACGGTAGCCCAACTGTGGTGGGAGCTGTGGGGATGGGGACACTAGGCAGAGTTGGGAAATATTTTGAACATGAAGCCAACAAGATTTCCCACCAGATTAGATGCAGACTGTAGAAGAATGGGAGGAGCCAAGGGTGACCTCAGGTCTTTGGCCTGAGCCACTGGAAAAGGAGAGTTTGGTCAGGTATAGGCTTTCAGCTCAGCCTGGCTGCCCAGCCCACAGGGCAGGTAAGGGAGGAAAAGAGAGAAGAGACCCTCACCCTCTCCCGCCTCGCCACCCTCCCCAGCTTTCTCGGGCAACAAGCATAGGTAGTAAGGAGGGAGGCTGTTGCTTGGATACCTAGGGCAGCACAAGCCTTTCCCCCAGACTTCCCTTCTTTCAGGAGGTGGAGCTGGCTCTTGAAGTGATGAAGAGGCAGAAAGCCCAGATTCTGGCTTTTTGGAGACCAGAGCATGAGCGCTGAAAGAGATGAAGCTTGAAATCTGAGGGAGCTAAAGGAACACACAGCAGGGGCATCAGCCTGGCCTGGTTGATCCACAGGGGGATAGGGGGAACTCATTTTTTTGGACATCAATTTTACAGCAGAGGACAAGGAAAATATTTGGGTATAAGAGGGAGAATGGGGCTCTCTGAAGCCACTGTCTGAACTTAAATCCCAGATCCACCTTTGTCACGAGGGACTGTGCCATCACCTTTCTGAACCTCAGTTCCCATATCTGGAAAATAGGTGTAAAAAACAGTATTGCCTTGCAGGGTTTTTGCAAAGGTAAAGTGAGAGAATTCACATAAAGCCCTTCACAGTGTCTGAGAAACACGAGTGTTCAGTGTTAACCAGTCCCATCATCCTTATCACCATCAGCTGACTTGTGAGATGGTGGTGAGAGGCCTGGCTTTGAAATCCCTAGGCTCCTCCCTTCTACCTTCTCTGTTCTGGCACAAGCAAAAGGAGAGATGTGAGGATGGGAAGGACTGTCCACTATCCCTCAAACTGCAGCCAGTAGATGGCAGTTACCTCTGTCCTTCCTGTGCGTGAAAAGCAAACGTTAGCCTTGCTTTGGGGCCAACGAGGTGCAGTGGGAGATGATGTGAATGCTGGTTGGTTCAGGGTTCTCAGATCTCCACCCATCTGCACGTCTTACCTGTTGGGAGAGTGTGTGGCCTTCCTGCCCTATTTCTCCCCTATCTTGGCTTCCCATGCAAGATACTGGAGGCTTAGCAGTTCTAGGCACAGGAAAAGGTTTTCTTGGCAACTGGGCAAAAGCTTCAAAATGAACTAGCTTTGTCTTTCAGACTCTCCCATCCCACTGGCCTCCAGATCTAGTCTGGTTTCATCTACCGCTGCCCTAACTAGTCAGGCTGGCACTTTGCTCCCCATCTCCTTCCAGATGAGCTAGTTATCTCAAGGCCAAGTCTTCTGTATAGGGAGCCCAAATGTCAGGATGATGCCAGAGTTAGGATGATCCAGGAGACCCTATAGCAAGGGGCCAGTTTTATTAATAGCTGACATTTACTGAATATTTAATATGGGCTAATTAATTCTTTTTTTATTAAGTCAAATACACACAGATCATGAATACATTCATGCATATGTAGGGTACAATGTGCTGATTTTGATTTTTTTAAAATTACTTTTTACTTAAGTATGTAGTACTAGCTCATTTAATACTCACTAGTACTCTGGGTTTCTAGAATCATCCCTAGATGACAGAGAAAATTAAGGCACAACTTGCCCCACATCACAGGGCTAGTAAGTGGGAGAGTTGGCTCTCAGACCCAGGCAGCTTGTAACCTTTTGCTTTGCTGCCTCTTGGGCCCGCTGAGTCTCTGCTGGGCTGGCTGTGCTAGACAAGGAGGCAGAGGAAGGGATGACCTTGCTCAAGCCCTCATCCAGGGGCAGATGCTTTCCTGACCTTTTAGAGCAATGCCGTGCGGAGCTCAGGGGCTGAGCTGGGAATCCAGGTTGGCTCTGGCAGTCCCCTAGGCTACATTTCCCTTGTCTACTCCACCACCCCCATGAGTTCTCAGGAATGGTCTATGGGGGCTGAATTTTGGTTTGGATGAGATAATCACTGTAGCCATCAGCCATGTCCTAGGATGGGGTACCACTCTTCACTCCCCCCCCCACACCAGAGACCACAAAGACACTGCCTGGCTCCCCTTGCCTTTTTAGTCTATTCAATAATCCATCACCTTTTTGTTAACGATATGTAGATTACCTCCACAAACCGGAGCTCCTGGCCAGGGGCGCTCTCTCCCACCTCCCCTTCTTCTCTAGGACTTCTCACAGCTAGCGAGCTGGGCACTCTTGGGAAAAGAGGAGGTGAGGAGGAGGGTGTCAGTAGAATGAAGAGTTCTGGCTCATGTCCTTCTCACCTGCCATGTTAGCTGGCCGTGAATCTTCCTGGAAGTATCAGTAAGCCCTTCCTTGCTCTAAACCAGTGGTTCTCAACCTTCCTAATGCTGTGACCCTTTAATACAGTTCCTTGTGTTGTGGTGACCCCTAATCACAAAATTACTTTTGTTGCTACTTCATAACTGTAATTTTGCTGTTATGAATCATAATGTAAATATCTGATATTCAGGAGACCCCCAAAGGGTTTGCAACCCATAGGTTGAGAATTGCTGCTCTAAACTGTCCTCACTCTCCTGAGATCCTCACAACAAAGAACGGCTTGTTCAATTTTATCTATGAATAAACTAAATCTCCAGCAGACAGAGATCTGCCTATGGCTGGGGAAAGTCATAGATTTGAGATGACAACTAGAGTTTTTGGCTCCCCATTCAGTGCTCTTAGTGACTCCTCAGCCTGGGAGGGGGGTGCTGGAATCACCTGGAAGGAGTTTAGTAGGTCCAGATACTCTTGCCCCACACGTTAAGAATGAACATCTCCAGTTCATTCTTGGATGCAGCCAAGATGGAAAACCACTCTGAAGATTTGCAGGTTATTTGCATCTATATAAGGAGTTCTTGAAGACCCAAAAAGTTTTGTGGCTCTCAGGGAGGTCTGGGGGATTCAGGATGGTAGCTCAGTGCCTACTAAATCATGTCACAATGGGGCAGCTCTTGGTACTGTCCTTATATCCTCCTCCCAGGTGACCTCTGACCCCTCCTGTCTGTGCAGAGTTGGCTGAAGATCCCCAGGGGCCTACACTACCTAGTCACTGGGATCTCCAGGCTCTGGCATTTCTCCCATTATCCTAGAAGCCTCTGTTCCATCTGCCTACTTTGTCTCAGAGCTGCTTGTCCCACCCCTACAGAGCTTGGGACACTTCCCCGGGCACTCAGCTAGAGACCTAGCCTCAGCTCATATCCTAGCCACTTGAGTCTCAGATGATCAGCCCTGTCTATACCTGTTCTTCCCCTCTTTATACAGGTGGTCTTGCAGCCACTGCCTGGGAGTAGCCTCTCATTTTCCCATCCACATAAGCAGCCAGTTACCCCCCAAATCTGTGGGCTTTTTGATGGCAGAATACCTGTCTTTTTCAAATATAAAACATTCCATGGTTCCCCCACATAGACCATCATGTAGTAGGCCTTGATGAAAAATAGATGGTCCTTTACCCAGAGCCACATTCAGCGGTAGGAAAAAATAAAATGTAGGTGATTTGTACATATTTTCATAGTGTGCAGAGAGTACCCGAGTCCTGAATTTTTGCTTCCACATAGCACATCACTGGCTACCAAGTCTCCCTCCCAAGTGCCAGCATGAAGTGAAGGGAACACACCATTGTGGGTCCCGAGACTGGGTGTGAATCTGGCTCTATCATTTACTTGCTGCTATTTAACCTCTTGCTGTTCAACCTTCTCTCCTACAAAATGAATATCATCATGTCTGTCCTGCCCGCACCGGGGTGGCTGCGAGGGTTAGTTAAAGGAGGTAGTGCATGAAGATATTTTTTATAAAGGTGAGTGCCACACATGGTAGCTGTTGTCTCTGCTATCCTTGTCCTGTGTTGAAGTCAGCCTTCCCTCAGAAGCTCCTCCACCCCTGAAGTCACCCCTGAAGCCTCAGCATGTGGCGAGTGGACTGGAGTTTCACCTTGCCATCGAGCCCATTCTGCAAGTGGGGGTAGCAAGCAGTAAGGCAGCCCCAGCGGGCCTGGCAGGACGCTCAGCACCAAGGACAGCGCCCCATTTCAACTTCTGCTTTTCTGTCTGTCCGGGTGGTGGGCAGGGCCAGGCAGCACTCACTGGTGTCCAGGCTCCACAGCAAGATTAAGAACAACAGCTGACGCTGGTGCCGTGGCTCACACCTGTAATCCTAGCACTCTGGGAGGCCCATGCTTGAGCTCATGGGTTCGAGACCAGCCTGAGCCAGAGCGAGACCCTATCTTTACTAGAAATACAAAAAACTGAGTCCAAGAGTTGGAGGTTGCTGTGAGCTATGATGTCGCCATGCTGCTCCACCCAGGGCAACAGCTTGAGACTCTGTCTCAAAAAAAAAAAAGAAGAAGAAGAAGAAGAACAGCTGACACTTATGAGTGAGTGCCGAGCCTCTCTACGTTTCATGCAGATGAACAAACCTATCAGGTTGCATGGGGGATAGACTGAC